GACCCATCTTGGGCTTAAAATTTTCTCTAATAGTTGTACTTTCCTGTGCAAATTGTGCGCGTATTGCAAAATAATGCGAAAAATCTACCGAACTGTAAGTTCTTTTTTTTGGGTCGAAAAATGTAGAAATTTTTCTTATTGTTGAAAGTTAATCGGAATGGCATTATTGCCATTTGAAAGCTGACATTTTTTCAAGAATTTAAAATTGTCCTGTATTAAGGATCCCTTTAATTTTCGCAGTGAGTTTAATTAAATTTGCATGATTTTTCCTATATTGTTTAAACAAATCGAGTATTCGGTTGAGTCAAATATGTATTATGTACCTACGTTTTTTATCGCTTAATGAATTCGTCTTGCAGGTTCATATTTGTAACTTCAATAGTTTACGAGATATAAACAGTCCAAGACTGAAAAATGCGAAGAAAAGCTTCATTTTTTGTAAACAAATTCTTGTAACTAACGAGCTGCAACAGTTACAAACTTGGTCGACAGCTCAATTGAAAGATCAGTTAGTATTCTACAAAATTGTCTTAAATGTCCATAACTGTATCTTTGATAGTTTAAAAGTTATAGCTGTTTATAAGTAAACAAATCGCATAGCCGCTTTAAAAAATTCTATACCTAAAAAATCGAAACATATTTTTTTGACAAAAAATTATAGGTACATGGTTGGTTTTGTTATTTTTTGCTCTATCTAAAAAAATAACATCGCTTGGACAATAAATTGTTGAGTAAAGAAACAAATAAATTATCAACAAAAAAAAAATCTGTAAATTTCTGGAGAATTGCAAATTAAAACAAAAGTTATAAATAATGACGATAAAGATTTGGGCGTCAGGACATATTTTTAGGAAATTTCCTCTTGTTTCAGGATCTTTTTTCCAATTGACGCTAACGCTTATATTTTTCGAGTTATTTGCAAAAAGCTGAACCATTTTTTAAATATTTATTTGTTTATAACTTTTGCAAAAGTTTATGTGCGAATACGATTTTTATTCACATTTTTATAGCCGTCACACAGTGGGAAATATTGGAAAAAATTCTCGCCACTCGCCAATTTTCATCGTCCTGTTGCGATTTTTTTTTAATAATCTCGTAATCTGAATTTTCTTATTCCGGTGAGGTTTTTTCGAAAAACCCTTTTTTTTAATGCTTATTATGACCTTGATATATCTGATGTTTTTTCTTCAAAAACCTAACTCCAAATATATGATCGAGGGCCATAATAATCAATTTTTATTAATAGCTGATACTTTTTAAACATTTTTTTCTGCAACTGAACATCGAGTATTTAAAAAATTTTTCTTCGACATTGAGGTTGGGGCGCTCCCTAAGCATTAAAAAATAAAAAAAAAAGAATTTTTCGAAAAAATCTCACCGGAATATGAAAATTCAGATTACCACGAGATTATTAAAAAAAAATCACGACGAGACGATGAAAATTGGCGAGTAGCGAGAATTTTTTCCAATATTTCCCACTGTGCGTCATCCTGAACCGAAGGAATCCTCATCCATCTCTTAACTCGAATTATCAGTATTTTTCTTGATTTTGAAGATACTAGATATATCTTTTATTTTTGACAACATGCTGATGAAAACTTTTAGGCTAAACAATTTTTTTGTCTAAGAAAGATCTGAAAAATTAATTACTAAAATGTTTTTAGTTACAAGGAAAAAGATCCGCAGCATACAATTCCTTGTCTTCTCTTACCGACTACGTCGATGATGTGAAACTGCACATTTCTGCAAAGCGCATAATGCCGCTAATTAGGCGAGGTCGGCGTGAATCGCCAACATCTGATGGACAAAAGGAAGTGGGCGTAACTCGGAACGACAAAGACATGGCTGGTTGGGGGTCTTGACACCCGTATAACTGTACCATCGTTACCAGTCCTCTTCATACGTTCTGTTGCCCGTAAAATTTTAGTAACGTCCGTTTTACGAATGCTGAGGCTCTTGTAGACGCTTATGAGAATATAAACGCAAGCCTAGAACAACACGATATAGAACGCCACGTGCCTTGTATTACCGACGGACAACAGTTAGCCATCTCTTGTTGACATACTAAAACAAATACGGCGGTAAATTTAAATTGTTTAGAAGTAATTTTTACACAAATTATTTGTTTTTTTTTATTGCCTTCTGCAAACTGCAAATTTAATTTAACAATAACTACCGGAAATTAAAAAGAAAAACTTTCTTCTTTCTATACGAGTACTTAAGGGTTATTACTAATAAAGATGCAAACAAACAATTATAAAAAATGTAAAAACTAAAAATTTTAATAATTCTTTTATGTACCTATAAAAAAAACAGAACAATTTCAGAATAATAAAAATGTAAAAGGTTTAAAAATAGACACATATTCGATATTTCATAAATCAATTAAAAGACTAGGTTTAGCTTTAAAAAATCTGAGTTGTATATTTAAGCACATGTTTAGTTCCACAGACTAAAAAAGTCTATTAATTAAAGACTGTTACAGCTGTTTGTTATTAAAAGTTTATTTATATTCGTAAGTACTTTTCCATGCATATACTTACCTAGTTTTCTTGGAGGTTTAGATGCTTATTTGGCATATATCTACAGGATGTTTTGCACCAAACCTGTCACAGATTCACTTTAATTTGTACCTAATATGATATAATGTCTAGGTACCAATAGGTATTTGATGATAGTTTTAATAAAAACCTGCTAACAATTAAAAATTACATACCTCCATTCGTATTTTCTAAGAACTTACTGGTTGTTGTCATGATGTCTACAAATTTAATCTTTAGGTTACACATTGCCCCGTATAACTTAAAAAAATTAGTAAAAAAATCCACGACATATATCTCGACTTGTCTAGGAAATGTTTCATTTGTTTTATTATCCGATTCTCTGGATCCATTCTTTTCACAGCAGACCTTCTGGTTGGTTTCGGTTTACCAAAGGACGTGCCGACATTGTAATTTACCCACATGTGTAACCCAATAGTCGGGACCCTCTTCATGGGTGTCGCCTTTGGGCAGGGAAAATAAACTGTTAACCCCCGAAACGTGCAAGTTTTGGTAGAAATACATTAAAAATTAGAAGAGGTATTCAACAGATTTCCAACAGCAGATAATTGTTTAATCATTTGACGTCACAAATTGTCAGTGACAAAAGTACTAGTGTTAAAAAAGTTTCTCTCTGAGAGTGTAACGAAAAACGTATGATTTGTTGACAGTTTTATTTTTCAACATACTCTTCCTTAACTGTATTTAACTTCAAAGTCGATTCCACTAAAAATAATAATAATTTCAACCAAACGATTTTGAGAAATTTCTATAAAGCTGAGTATTTTCTATTAACCAGTGGGTATACTAATAAATTTGCAGTTTGTAGAAGGCAATAGTAAAAAAACATTAATTTTTATAAAAATTACTTCCAAACAATTTAAATTTACCTCCTGATTTATTTCTATATGTCAATAAGAGATGACGGAACGTGGTCAGTCGGTAATGTAGAGTTCTATATTATGGGTTGTTCTAGGCGGGTTATAGTGTCCGTAATTTTAGAGTCTATTTCCTCTCTCACATTTCTTATATTACTTACAGATAGTGCTAACAAAATTTTATATTGTTTATTAATTTATCACACAAAATAATTCTAACAGATGTAGGAACAAATGAATAAAAACCATGCACTCTAATATCAACGTATAGCAATCGGTTTATCAAAAGATATAATTAAACTGGATTTAACTAAATAGCAACTAAACTAGATTTATGGCCGTCAATGAAATTCATTCTTATAAACGCTGCTCATGCTTAGTTTTTGTGATTTAGATTTGTCAAAACGTTTGGTTAGAAAAGGTCGCCGTCGCAACTAATTGTTTATATCATGGCTAGATTAGATAGATAATAAAAACAAAACAACACTACACAAATCTGAAATATTTAAATCCAATACACGTACAATTTTTATTTGTTCAAAATTATGTCTACGTCTATGAATCTCCTGACAGCCCAGATTTTAGGTGGTTACCGGCAAAGCGATACGTCCCGAAGTGTCTGAAGTTATCCGACGGCCGTCAGACGAAACTCCAAATCCTAGAATTAATTACAAGTAGTTTGTGAAACCAAATAGATGTTTGTTGTTCACTCAGGGCCTGTTGACTGTATCAACAACATTACCATTAATTTTTTGTATAACATCTAACATATTTATGATGGTAGGAAATTATTAATGGCAATTTGAAAGAACTGTATCAAATTGCTAAGAGGAAGCACAGGAAAGTGTTTATTTGACTGTTGTTTGATGTATTTTTGGTACATAAACATTTGAATACTTATTTTCTCTTGCACTTGCAGCTTTTTAAAAGGGTCCATTTTTTAAACCCCCATTTTAATTAAATAATGGCTAAAATTTCTTTAAATTTTAATCCAAACAAAATAAATTAAAATTTTATATGATAATTAGTCCATATGGGCACACATAACGTAAATCATCTGAGGGTTGGTTGGTCATAAATAATGAATTAAAGCGGCACCCCTTTATAGTAGTAGAATAACGCCCCAGTGAAAGGGAGGAGGTCCTACTCATTTAAAAATGTGTTGGAGTAACTTATTGGTTTTAACAGAAGATCCGCTAGTTCAACTCAACATGTGGTCGCAAATTGTCAGCAGTATCGGCAGTAGTGAAATTTATATGAAGACGCACATGATTTATTATTTATTATAGGTAAAGTTTGTGGGTTGATAAATTTATACATAATGTACATATTATAGAATGTCTCTATGATAATTATTTTAAGAACAATCAAAAATTAGAAAGCAGTATTCCATGTAGTATAATTAGTATTAAATTACATTACATTACATTCATTACACTTTCATTAATTTAGCAGTTTTAACTTTGGGGAATTTAAGCTGTTGAAAATTATCGGTTTTGAAATTATGGTATTTTCTCCATTATGGTTTTTGAAGAATATGGATGCTTCTAAAAGTTTGTAATGTGGCAGTAGTAGTGTTGTTGACGTTTCACATATTTGACATTTTTAGGTTACTTTTAATTGTAAATTTAGAAAATGCCCCGAACTAGCAAAGAATTACTGGAATTGGACATCGACAACCTTTTCGAGGAACGTAGCGTTGATGAAATTGTAGAAATTGAAAAATTACTCGATGCAGAAATAGAAAGGAAAAGGAGTGAGCTACGTTCAATGGTAGGGTACGTACTATGATTACGAAAATAATTAGAACCTGTGGCTCTATCACCTTATTTTCGTGTCGTAGGGATCGTTACAAAGATGTCCTTGCTGCCTCGGACGCCATAATTTCCATGAAGGCTATCTCTCGAGAGATTGTTAATAACATAGAAAAAATTACAAACATTTGCGAAGAACTTGTTACGAATCCTGTTAGAAGTGACACGAAAGGTTCCCTTGAAATCGACAAGTACGTTTGTGTGAGTTATTGTGACTAAATATGATAAATTTAATATTTCAGGGATAAACATGAAGAGCGAACGCTGGTAATACAAATCCGTCTAGCAATTTTTATGAATGAGCAAACTTGGATTGCTTTGGATGAAGAAAGCAATCTGCAAGCTGCACAGTATTATTTATTAGCACAGCACATACACACAGGTGACTATTTTAACTTGGGCAAAGTTGTGCAAGAATCTAATAACTTACTTTTAGGACTGAGTTTGTCGAAAAAAGAAGACATAGATAGAATACCTCTTCTTCAGCAGTTAAAGTATAATTTAGTTGTTCTAAGGTCACAAATATTTGGAAAAATTACTGAGAAACTGGAATCTGTTGAGATTACGGCCGAGGTAAACAATTTATCATGTTTAAAACAAGTTTAATTGCATTATCTTTTCGCAGGAGACTAGTCAAAATCTAAATGCATTAATGTTGTTGGAAAACCAAAGTTGTAAAGATTTATTAAGCATTTTTGTCGAACACCGCAAAACGGCGTTGAATACCGTCATTAACTCAACGTATTCTAGCGTTAGGATTCAAGTTAACGCCATGGTTAGATGTCTCGTCACCACAGTTCATCTATTGCATGACTGCTTTATATGTAAGTTATATATTTTCTTGTTAAATGTCGTTATATCTGTGAGACTTCATAGGTACGGGAAATGGGGGAAAAGGGCTAATTTGGCAGCAGTTGAACGATATCGTAGCCGATCCAGCACCTCGAACTTTGTCGAAGATGGAACTACCTGTTACACCTTTAACGTTGTATATACCCGAGATTATCAGACAATTTAGGTAAATGCTCATAGAATTGCTTTTCGACGTTCATTATCAGACTATTATTGTTTGTGTAGGCCTAAATGCAAGTCGTTGGACGATACGGAGACAACTTTAAAAAATGCTAAGCAAGTGTTAGAGAAATGGTTGAAAGATACTCAAGAAACGATTAAAGGCGGACTAGAAAAATCCTTAAAGTTAGTTACAAATGTGAGGGGGTTGCATTTAGTCAGGGAGGAATCATTGAAAATAGGTAACGATCTGTTTGTTAATTAAAAAAATGTTCGTAGTGACTGTCCTTTTCAGAATTGCCGAGTAATTGGGAACAAATCTGTTCGGAAACGTACCTGCCGGAAAATTTCGACGTTTGGTATTACTTTTTCCAAAATTTGATATCGCAAAGATGTAGGTCTCTGATTTCTACAAAGATTTCACGGATAGTCGAAGAAGTACAAACTTACGTTATGGACACGCTGAAGATCGTGTCGAAATCGGAAAGGTCCGAGACTGATTTACGGTGGTATGCTTGGACGGAGGAAAATAGCGATGTCAGTAAAACTGAAAATTCACATTTAGGTAAGATTAAAACGTTTGAATCCTTGTTAAAGTGTTGACGATGTATTATTTTAGGATTGACGATGAAAACTAAGGGATATTCACGGAATATAGTAGAGTTGTGTAATAAAATGGACGGTAAATATTTGGAATTGTTGGAAGACGTGTCGCAATATCTGTACGGCAAAGAATACAGCTCCGACATAAACTTTTCCATAGTTTTTAAAGATTTTAAATTTAAGAGAAAATACGTTGACAAAACAGAGGTAGAAGTTCATTTAAGGACAGAGTCTGTGAGCAGATCTACACAGTAGGGTTTAAGGTCTGAATATTTTAATGATTTTCTTAATTTCGTCTGTTTGTAGGATCGCGGAGTTTGTGAAAAATATTCTTTCCAAGGAAAAGGAGCACGTGGTGGTGAAGTCGATAGTCTGTGCCAGATTTTTACACGCGATTTCTACTTTTTGCCCGAATTTCCACAAATGCTGCACTTTTAACAACACCTCCGACGATTGGTTGAAAGTCTGTGATATCTACAATAAAACTAGTCACGTTTTGTGGCAATATTGGGTGAAGGACACGATTAAACGAACGGAAGAGGACGTCGAGAGATTTAACGATATTTCACCAAATTACGTGCTCAAAATTCTATCTGTAAGTTCCCGGAAGATTCACGAAACGGAAAAACTAATCCACTTCGGTTTTAGAGGTGGGATGAAATAGAGATCCAGGAGCAAACCGAGGAAAAAGTGTTCAAATCCCAAATCAAAGTGCCGTTAAAACCCTGCTTAGTTCTGAATAGCATCTTGGAGTCGTTGAACGACCACCTCAACAGCGTCCTACCTCACACCCTTCCCAAACCGATCCATCTCCAGTACATCGAGCAGAACATGGCCGTTGTCCTGAATCGGTACAAGAAGCTGGTGGATAAGGATTTAAATCAGATCCAGGCGTTGCAGTTTCTGTTCGATGTCAAGTATCTGACGACGTTGTGCGTGCCCAGGGAAAACGTGCAACTTATTAGCTGTTCGCAAGAAATCTGTGATAAACTTAGGAGTAGGATAGACCCTTTCGATTTGGACGTGTTTTATTCCTATTTGCAGAATAACGTGAAGCGTGCCGTGCTGCAGTCGCAGGTAAGTGATTTGAAACCGTTTTTTCAACGCGTTCGCTGGGGCTATTTTTAATGACTTCCTAATTCGACAAGGTGTAACTTTGGTTAGGGTCATATTTATATGACACCTACCTTTAACATTTTCATAAACTAAACACAGTGCTTCAGAAAAAGAGAAACAAATGTTTCTTTTTAAAAACAAGAAATGATCTAAAATTTATTTTTTTTTTAATTTTTTTTCTCGTTACTTTTATCATTTTCTAGATAGAAAAAAAATCTCGATTCTGAAAATTTCAAATCGATATTTATTTTATATTATTTCAAAAGATCTCATAATTATTTTAACTTTAAAAGTAGTGTACCTAAAATGTTTTCGAGCGACCTCTAAAAATAAATATCAATGAACTAATAATTTTTTTTATTGAATTTGATGAAGAGAATAGAAATAAATCACGACACTTAAAAAATTTGTCAAGGCAAAATTTCCTACCGCACTGAGTATCAAATATTTATAATTTTTTAATTTTTTAAAATTTAAGTGTCGTAATTTATTTCTATTCTGTAATTTGACGAATACTGAAGATATTGAAAACATTTTTTTCATTTTATTCCTTTTGAGATGTTTTATAAAAAATATATAAAAATAACGTTTTAAATTTTTTTAAATTTTTAGTTTTTTTCTTTTCAAATCAAGAATTATTTTTGAAAAAGTGGCGTTATGTTTATTCTTCGAAAAAAAATCGTCTTTCAATATGCAAAATTATGAGAGGTTCTAGAGTGAGATCTTTTCTATTCTATTTTTTCAAATTAAAAAAAAGAAAAATTTTGTGTTAATTTTTTATAGACTGTACACTACTAAACCAGATTTTACTATAATTACTATAATTACTAAAAACTCCATATTTTTAAAACTATTTCTGCTAATAAAATTTGATTCAACAAAAAAATTAAAAAAATAAAAATAAAAAAAAAAATTTTAATTAAAAAAAAATCCCATTGTAGAACCTGTCTCGTAACTTTGCTTATTGAAAGACGATTTTTTTGAGAATTTTTCAAAAAAAAACGAACCACTTTTTTGGTTTAAAAATAAAAAAACTAAAATGTATTATTTTTATATTTTTTTTATAAACATAATGAGAAAAAAAGTTTATAATATCTTTAGTATTCGCCAAGGTACAGGTACAAGTTTTTAACCAAAATATTCAAATGCTCACAACTTCTTGAAAGATTGACCAGAAATTTGAAAAAATTCATGAAAGCTATTCTAAATGGGTACTAAACAATATCGTACTAAGCAAAATCGTTTTAAACGTTAACAGTATGGCTATTTGAAATAAGTTACGTTGATATTTAAAACACAAAGAAGATGGTAGGATGGCTCTTATATCATTTTCTCGGTGAATATTTACAAAAATTCAAGAAAAAAGTAAAGGCGAGGTATCAAATAGAAAATATAAATTCAAAAAAATTTCTAAAAACCTTATCAAATAAAGTCAAACAATAATAGGATAGGGTTTTTAAAAAAAATTTTTGAATATGTTTGAATTGATTTAATATCTTAAAATAAAGTAAAAACACAACACCAAAAAATAAATATGTCATTTTAGACGAAATTATTTTTGCAGATGATTTTGGGCTGTCTCATACCATCCCCGAATCAGCTAGCAAGCCTAGGTCTTCCGGAAAAGAGCAAAGAGCAAGATAAGGTACCATCCATTTTAGCTTTAAGTGCGTCTTCGTCGTCTTCTTGGTTCCCCCTGTTACCCATAACTGTACCTTCCCAGAAGACATCGGGCGTTATTTCAGGATTAAAAAAGGACACAAAGGTAGGTCCTTTTATCCTTCCTCTTTTACCAGTTTAAATAATGAGTCTACTTTTCAGTCTGTTGAGCAGGGTTATTTCTCTATCTGATAATGGTAAATAAATACGACATTGTATAACCCGTGTGGATTGCTAAAGTATTAGCTTTTATTAATATGTTTTTTTGTGTAATAGGGTCGTTTCGGATGGTTTTTCAACGTTTCTGAAAAATTGTCTCAAAATATTTTACACGCACTTCGTCGTTTTTGATTTTCGATAGTTTCGTGCAAAAAATAAGTACATACTATTGGCCATTGTTGGTACGGCCAATCCAAGTAATGTAATAAGTAGTATGTAATGTTCCTAATGTTTGAGGAATTTGATTGAAACACGGCAAACAAAAAAAAGTTTTTCTGCTATTTATGGATTGTTTTTTAAGTATCTTATATTTATTTAACATTTTGCGTAAAATTTCACTTACGGAAACGACCTTATTGAAAAAGAACTAAAAGTTTAGTTTCAAGTGTCATTTTTTTTACATCTTCATTGTTTATACATATCTCATTACCACAATTCTAATTTCATTATAGGCTATTGATTATAGAATTTTAAAAGGAATAATCACATTCAAGATATTTTATTACATGAATCGTTCAAATGGTCATTTAATACGAAAAAACCACAGTGTTATTAAATTGGAGGGTGGAAATAGGGCTGAAAATGCAACCCTTTCAGTTTTTTAATTGTAGCCCGAAAACGAAACAAAATTTCCGCATAGGAAAAATTTTGTAGAGAATTGAATTTCCCATCGAAATGGCTTATTTAAAAAATTAAAAGGAAAATTTTTAGTGGAAGTAGACAAAGAAAATTGCTGTACAAAAAACTAGATGAGATTCCCTTCAAAATGATAAGTTTTCAAAAGTTTTTGGACGAATATTTAGTTATAGTCTGTCAAACTTAAATATTTTTTAGATTTTTGTTGTTTTTAACATTATAATTCTTATTAATAAACTTTATTGTACTTAAATTCTCATGTTTATGCTAATTTTATTTTATTGTAAAGAAAAGAATCTTTCATTTTCCAGATAAGTAATAATAATATGATTAACTGTAATTTCATTTGAAAAATCCCTCATAGTTTCATACAGTTGTGAAAATCTTTATTTATTGCTAACAAATAAAACTTTTGAAATAATTTTTCATTAAGTAAAGAACCAATTTGTTGTAAAATATAAAAAAAAATTATAATCATTATTGTTATGTTAAAAACAACGAAAATCCAAAAAATATTTAAGTTTGACCGGTTATAACTGTCTTTTGAAAACGCATCATTTTGAAGGGAATCTCATCTAGTTTTTTTGTACAGCAATTTTCTTTGTTTACTACTAAAAAAAAATTTTTTGAATCAAAAAAGTAAAAAAAAAATAAAAAATTCTAATTTTTTGCTTTTTTAAAAATTGTTTATTAACGATTTTTTGCATAAAATTTTTCTTTTAAATTTTTTAAATAAGCCATTTCGATGGGAAATTCAATTTACAAAATTTTTCCTATAAACTATACCGTAATTTTGCCTCGTTTTCGTGCTATATTTAAAAAACTGCAAAAGTTCATTTTCACCCCTATCTTCATTTTCAACCCTCTAATTTAATAGCACCTCACGGTTTTTTCATTTTTAATGACCCTTCGAACAAGTCGTGATGAAAATCCTTGAACGTCTTATTTCTTTCCTTTTTTCAAAAAATGAGAATTAAAACGTATAAGGGTAAACGCGACTAAAATCGAAAAATTGGCTAAGTTTGAGCGGCTATATATGTCAATTTTCATCCAAAAATACTTTACAACTTCATTATTTGAAGGAAATTTTATCTACTTTTTTTTTGTATAAAGCAATGCCTATACCTATCTTTACTCAAAAAAAAAACAAGAGGCAAAAAAGTAAAAAAAATTAAAAAATCGAATATTTTGCTTTTTTTTCATATTGTTTATTAACGATTTTTTGCATAAAATTTATTTTCCTTTTAAATAAGCCATTTCGATGGGAAATTCAATTCTCTAAAGAATTTTTCCTATGAACTATGGCAAAATTTTGCTTCGTTTTCGAGCTACAATTAAAAAACTGAAAGGGGTACATTTTCACCCCTATCTCCAATTTCTACCCTCTAATTTAATAGCACTCCGCGGTTTTTTCATCTAAAATGACCCTTTGAACGATTCATGCACTGAAATGGTTTGAACGTCATAGTTCCTTTTAACCCTGTGTTTTCGATATAGTCAATAGCCTATTAATAGCTATAGTTCAAAATGCTATTAATTAAACGTAAGAGGGCTCAATAGCAAATAGCCATTTTTATAGATTTTATTACACAGTCTGTCTAAATATGAATTAATGCACAAATAACAGACTTTCCTCCATTCTAACGCAGATTTTCTATAAATGGAGTTAGTTTGAAACTCTAATTACTTTTTGTTGTAAAGAAATTTGTAATTTAAGTTTCAAACCAAGTCCATTTTATAGAAAATCTGCATTAGAATGGAGGAAAGTCTGTTAATTGATTCAATCTGATTCATATTTAGACAAACTGTGTAATAAAATCTATAAAAATGTATAGCTGGTTGCCTATTTGCTATAGATCCCTCTTAATAGTGTTTTGGCACGTTTTTTTTTACCATTTTTGCCATTTTGAGTGATTATAACCCTTATTAGTTTTCATCCCTAATTAATTAAAATCATCGTTGACTAAAATTTTACGTTTTAATCATTTTTNTTTTGCATAAAATTTTCCTTTTAAATAAGCCATTTCGATAGGAAATTCAATTCTCTAAATAATTTTTCCTATGAACTATGGCAAAATTTTGCTTCGTTTTCGAGCTACAATTAAAAAACTGAAAGGGGTACATTTTCACCCCTATCTCCAATTTCTACCCTCTAATAGCACTCCACGGTTTTTTCATCTAAAATGACCCTTTGAACGAGTCATGCAATAAAATGGCTTGAACGTCATAGTTCCTTTTAAACCTTTTTTTTTTTTGATATAATCAATAGCTCTATAGTTCAAAAGGCTATTAATTAAACTTAAGAGGGCTCTATAACAAATAGCCATTTTTATAGATTTTATTACACAGTCTGTCTAAATATGAATTAATGCACAAATAACAGACTTTCCTCCATTCTAACGCAGATTTTCTATAAATGGAGTTAGTTTGAAACTCTAATTACTTTTTGTTGTAAAGAAATTTGTAATTTAAGTTTCAAACCAAGTCCATTTTATAGAAAATCTGCATTAGAATGGAGGAAAGTCTGTTAATTGATTCAATCTGATTCATATTTAGACAAACTGTGTAATAAAATCTATAAAAATGTATAGCTGGTTGCCTATTTGCTATAGATCCCTCTTAATAGTGTTTTGGCACGTTTTTTTTTACCATTTTTGCCATTTTGAGTGATTATAACCCTTNCAATAGCTCTATAGTTCAAAAGGCTATTAATTAAACTTAAGAGGGCTCTATAACAAATAGCCATTTTTATAGATTTTATTACACAGTCTGTCTAAATATGAATTAATGCACAAATAACAGACTTTCCTCCATTCTAACGCAGATTTTCTATAAAATGGACTTAGTTTGAAACTCAAATTACTTTTTGTTGTAAAGAAATTTGTAATTTGCCGCTTTTGATTAGCGAAATTTGTAATTTACAAATTTCTTTACACAAAAAGTAATTTGTGTTCCAAACCAAGTCCATTTTATAGAAAATCTGCGTTAGAATGGAGGAAAGTCTGCTAATTGATTTGATCTGATTCATATTTATACAAATTGTGTAAGCGCGGCGGTAGCCGAAGTGGCCAAGGCTTGCCTACAGAGGCGAGCCAGGGCTGTGCGGCAAAACCGTAGTGGGTTCGAATCCCGCACGCGGCAGGAAAATTCTTTCGAATTTTCCTGTCGTACCATGGACGTTTGTGATTGTTAAGGTGGAGGGTAGTGTAAGTTAGCAGGCAAAAAGGGTCAAGCATGGCCTAATTGCTGGTAAGCTTCATTATCTTTTTATACAAACTGTGTAATAAAATCTATAAAAATGTATTGCTGGTTGCCTATTTGCCATAGAGCCCTCTTAATAGTGTTTTGGCACGTTTTTTTTACCATTTTTGCCATTTTGAGTGATTATAACCCGTATTAGTTTTCATCCCTAATGAATTAAAATCATCGTTGACTAAAATTTTACGTTTTAATCATTTTTGTTTTTGTCGATTGTCACCAATAAAGTGAAAGCATTAACCTAAAAAAAAGTTTCGGTTCGAAAGATCATTCATCAGACTTTCGATTTCGTAGGAATCCAGTCAGAAACCAGGCAAAGCCCCTTCAAGGAAGAGCCAGGATCCGACAAGCGTGATGAGGCAGAGCGCAGCATCGCTGTTTGGCGGTTTAACAACCGATTGGTTCTCGTAACATCAAGACTTTAATTATCAGTCGATTTTATTTCCATACTCGAGGTTATGTTATAAAGTGTTATATATAAAGTAATTCTTATGCTTTTCTACCTGTACAATTTGTATTTATAAGGCATAATAAAAAGAATAATTTTTAATAGTGTTGTAAATGGGGATTTTATTTGCTCCAGGTGATGACTGTTTAATGAATCTCCCGTCTAGTGTAGGTCTTTTGTAAAAATAAACTAAAAATGAGTGTCAGTTCTGTGCCAATTTATTGCACACATAAATCGAGAAGGAATATGTACACGTAAGTAAGGAGCATTCTCGCGCCTGTAGGAATTACATAAACAGTTTATGCTATTTACACGAAGGATAAGCGGCTAACTTTTGCTGACATGTTATTTCTTCATATCTAAGTAGTTTGCTGCTTACAGTAGTTTTTTTTAATTTAGTTCTAGTGCAATGGTATGGGATACTTACAGTGGGGTAATAATTGCCACCTATTCAGATAACAGAAAATTGTATAATGACAAAAAACACGACCTGCATTTCTTATTTTTATGCGAAATCATTATTTAGCTGATAATTTAATAAAATATAAAATTGAAATGAACTTAGCCGACAGTCGTAACATGGTAGACTATTTTAATCGTGCCATCTATTAATCCGAATTTTAAACAAAATCTCATACCTCTGCCTTTCTCAATTTACCGTTTAACAAAGCTTACTCAAAATGCAACTGGTGTAATGTATCAAAAATAAAGCCATCCCACTAAACACGAAACGTAAATGAAACGTTGCAAATGAGCTGTTTTACTACACATATGAAACAATAACTAGAAACGTTGCTGTTTCATTACGGAAATGTAGCACTTGAGAACTTACTTAGTGAAACATAGCCGAAACATTCCAATTGAAGAGAGTTTGAAACATTACTCGAAACATTCCCTTTCGATCTCGGAAACGTAACNGATTTTATTTCCATACTCGAGGTTATGTTATAAAGTGTTATATATAAAGTAATTCTTATGCTTTTCTACCTGTACAATTTGTATTTATAAGGCATAATAAAAAGAATAATTTTTAATAGTGTTGTAAATTAGGATTTTATTTGCTCCAGGTGATGTCTGTTTAATGAATCTCTCGTCAAGTGTAGGTCTTTTGTAAAAATAAACTAAAAAGTAAAAAATTATTGTCGGTTCTGTGCCAATTTATTACACACATAAATCGAGAAGGAATTTGTACACGTAAGTAAGGAGCATCAGCTTCTCGCGCCTGTTGGAATTACATAAACAATTTGTGCTATTTACACGAAGGATAAGCGGCTAACTTTGCTGACATGTTATTTCTTCATATCTAAGTACTTACAGTAGTTTTTTTTTAAATTTAGTTCTTACAGTGGGGTAATAATTGCCACCTATTCAGATAATAACAGAAAATTGTATAATATGACAAAAAACATGACCTGCATTTTTTATTTTTATGCGGAATCATTATTTAGCTGATAATTTAATAAAATATAAAACTGAAACGAACTTAGCCCACAGTCGCAACATAAACAAAAACTCATACCGCTGCGTTTCTCAATTTATCGTTTAACAAAGCTTACTCAAAATGTAACTGGTGTAATGTATCAAAAATAAAGCCATACTTAAATATTTAAGCTAGCTTAACAGAGCCAGACGTATATTTTTCGATGCAAACGGTCCTAAAAATGATTTTCCTTAATAATATTATTTTGTGGCATCACAAATAAGTAATATTGCTGATTTTGAAATTTTGTCCATTCCTGAACACCCTGCACATACAAATTTACAATTCTCTGCAACAACCTTATTTTATCAAGATTCACTCGTAAAATTATTTTCTTATTTTATGTCGAAGTAGGCCGACGATTCCACAAACTGAATTTCAAACAAATTTAAAAAAAGATCTATGGAAATACCAAGTGACAATGAATTTAGTTGAACATAAGTAAATTTGTTTGCATTGTTTATGGGCACAAAAATCTTCCAATGAGTGTTATTTATT